CTACCATACAAGAGCAAAAGAGGTGGAGCTGAAATTATGATGCACGACTCATTTCATAATTTGTCCCTTCTTAATGTACCCTATGGTTATCATTGCTAAATTTCCCCAATATATATTTATCCTTTAGAAGGAACTCAGCATATTTCTAATTTTCGGCAAGAAGCTCTACAATTCATTTTTATTTTAAAACGTTTCATTTTAAAATCAGTACATCCAACAGTAAGGTATATACTGACTAAGGATAACTAACAGTCCAAACTGCTCTTACATGAAAAAGAAGAAACTGACAGAAGGTTCAGTATCTTTTCAGGGTAATTAGGAATGGAACAGTCTGTAACAGATTTAATATAGGAAAAATGATCTCTAGCTGTAATGTTATTATCTCTTGAAGCAATCTGGAAAGTAGAGAGAAGTCAAAAGGACAGCTAGACAATAATTTAATCCAAGTGCAACCAATATGTCACAGATAAAGCTATTTACTACCATTTAGGAGAACAGTAAATAAAATCTTTCATTAGAATTGTATAGCTGATTTTTAAAACTTAGAGGTACTGACAGTAAAGCCCATTAACCTGCCTGAATAATTAGAGAAAGCTCCTCCCCCCCCCCCAGAATAATACAAAGATTATAAAGGTAAAGTTAATAAATCTATTCCAGCTGTAATAGCCTTGTTCAACTTTCAATAGCTAGCTGGCTGGAGAATTCTGGGAGTTGAAGTCCACCAGTCTTGAGGTTGCCAATTTTGGAGACCTCTGAGCTAGAGAGATATTATGTTGCTCAGGTGATTCTTTTTCTTCTTGTGCCATATCCGTCATCAGATATTGGTGATCATGTTGGCGATCCTATTTTTATCAACAACTGCAGAAAAAAGTGCTGTTGAGTTTTGTCCAAACCAGTCCCTTAGATTTTAAAGCCATGATGTTCTTCTTCTGCCTGGACCTCGTTTGCCTTCAATTTTTCCTTGGAGGATTAAGTTGAAGTATGCCATTTGAGGCGGGGGGGTGTTCACATCACTTGTCCAAAGTATTTTAATTTTTGCTTTTTTAGAGTTTTGATGATTTCCCTTGGCTTTCCCAGGTGGCTTATCAGCTCAGGTGATACTATTCTGGAATTGGCCTTGCATAGGAAAGTATGAGACATGTTTAGCGTGCAGAAGGGGGATCTGCAAGGCATGACCAGAAGAGCAAGATAGCAGGTGCAACAGCATGATTGAAGACTTGCTTTTTGTATGAAAGCATTTGTGCCCATGATCTTGGCTATATTGGTGCTTCCCTGCCATGATGGACAATGAAAAGGACAAGTGCTGTTTTGGCAGCTCTTGGAGATACCACTGGCCACAATTCTTGAAAGTGGCTGGTATAGTTTCCTGTCATTTTGAGCTGGGGAATACATGACACCTGGAAATAGAATATAAGCTGAGGATTCTCAAACACTGTGATGTCATAATTCTTCCATTGGCTCCATATGAGAGTGGGCATGATGGGGTTGAGAGGTCGGGACAGGGATGATTATAGCATAAGAGTATAGCAGATGAAAGGGACAGGGGATTTTGATTTATGGGCTGTTGAGGGATGTCATTCAGTGCACCTATTTGTTGTTGTTCAGTCACAAGTTATATCCAACTCTTTGAGATCCCATGGACCATAACATGGCAGACCCCTGTCCTCTACTGTTTTCCTGAGCCTTCCCAAATACACACACACTGCATTGATCTAAGCATCTCATCCTCTGCTGTCCTCTTCTCCTTTTGTGTTCAATAAGTGCACCTATAGAGAGACTGATACTGAGTCTATTTTGGAGTCTGTTAGGGAAGATACGGTTAGCTCTGAAATGTGCCCTGTCAGCAGTGGGCTGCAGGGAATGGAAAGGGAGGGAACAGAATTAAGATGATGACAGATAATGGGAAGCATGCAATGACACTTTACAAGGAACAAAAAGGTTGGTTATTTGACGACCATCTCCTTTCTGAGTCAGCTGCTTAATCTCAGGATCCAGAAAGTTAGGCCATCAAGTTATGTCTGATGCTAAGTATGCCAAGTTTATCTATAACTGTGGATAAGAGGACAGACATGCCTTGGATTATTATCAAGATTTAAGAGGGTGAATGGGAAAATATTCTCTTTTCTAAAACACATTCATCTGGGTTCTGAAATTTAACCAGCAATGACCCCAGATCAAGGAAATATATGTTTGGGAAATTTTACAGGCAGTAAAATTTAGTTTTCCACTACCAGGCATGTAACCTTGGATGAATGGGTCGCTAGCAGAGACCAGTTGTGCTCCAATTTGAACTGCTTCTGGAGCAAAAGGTTTTGTTGACAATTTCTTGTGCCCTTTATATCTCCTATCTTAGTTCTCTGGCAGTTGCAACTGATTCAAAATTCAGCAACTCATGTGCTGACAGATTCTGTCTATTCTACCCTGTTTCTCCAACAATATGGCCTCCCCCAATAGGAAGTCCCAGCATGTTTTATAGGCATGAAATGAAATTAAGCCCCTCCCCCCAAATTAAGGCCTATATTAAAACATGCGAAATGGGGGGAATGGTGGGGGGGCTTGCCGTTAGGAAGTACTTTTATTGCACACCCGGATATGGTGCTGCCTGCATTGACCCCAACACAAAGTGCCCCACCAATGCCGAGGTCAACATCCAAGCCATCACCACCCGCCCGCCCGAAGATGCAAGGGGGGGGGAATTAAGTCACCCCCGAAAAGACGGCCTAGCCATTTTTTCGGGGCTCAAAAAAAAATAAGACCCGGACTTATTATATGAGAAACACGGTATATAGGTAATACCTCTGTTGTGGGAGCTTCCTTGCCAGTTGGCTTCCAAGTACAATTTAAGGGGGGGGGGTAATTATCTTAAAACTTTACATGGTGTGAATCCTAGGTATCTGTGACACATCATTCTCCACATTTTATTTTCTAATCTAACTTATGTCACCTGTCAAAAATAGCAATTTATGTCACTTTAATTAATCTGATTTCCCTATTAAAACTGCAATTATCTAAGCCAGTACGTAATTGACAGCTTTCTGTGTTTTCAATTTTAGATTCAATTTTATAATTTTACCTTTCAGGTGAACTCAAAATGCTGTAGCTAAAACATATTTTTATACAGTTATTCGGTTTAATACAATAATTGGTAATTTATAATTTTACCATCACAATCAAAGTTAAGCTGCAACAATAAACTACTAAAATCAGCAGGATACAGAAAGATGTTCTTAATATTGGTTTGGTTGTTGCGCTCACTGTTATTTAATCATTTCATCATTTATTTAATATGACTCTTATGTCCTTGAATAAAATATATTTCCTAGATATTCAGTTTTACATTCAACTAAAAAAAAGTCATGCTGTTTCTCTCTTGCTAATTTGCATAAGAGGTATTTTTTACCCAGAGGTCCTGTGCATACTGATGTCCATACCAAGAGCTTTAGAAATCAGATAATATGGAAGAAAAAACAGTACATTTTTAATAATAATGCCTATAGCTGGAATTTTCTCCCTAGTATTTTTGTTCCTTCCTGCTGAGCTAGAAGCATGAGCCTTCCTATATTAAAGTAATACTGACAGTTCCTCAGATAAATTGAAGTCTATCTCTTTTTTGGTCTAGAGGCACTGATGGACTAGAAGAGAGCTAGCAAATTAAACTTCAATTTAAATATAATAGTGATAGAAAATTGCCCAGCCTAAGAACTAGAACTTGCTTTGAACTTAGAACACTATCTCTGAAGGAATAGGTATATAACTTAAGGGTTCTCCCTAATTCCATAGTATGATAAGGAAGCCCATTCCCCATTTTCAGTTACAACTCTAGCCTGAAGAATATGTATCTTAATAACATTACAAGTGAATTACTTCAGTCAGTTTTCACATGCTGTAATTTAGACAAGAACACCATCATAGAAGTTCTGGTATTATCATCACTTGGTATCATTTAAATTTGCTGAAGATGTCACTAGCTCTACGGAAGGCTATCCTTGAAAATGTTTTGTAAACATATTGTAAACATTTACAGAATATTGTTATCTGATTGTTAATCAGGATAGCCAACCAATAAGCCCACTCCCAAAAGCACTACAGGGTGCTTCTGTTATGAACTACTAGGCCAATTCAAGGAGTTTACATTAACCAATAAACTTTGACATGGATTTGACCCAAGTACTTAACAGAAAACTTTCTCAATGTCTTTCAGCTTATGCACTAAGATCAGCTGGAGAGATTCTATCTAGGGGTTCTGCAATTTAGCTCACAGTGTAGTGACACCCAGAACATTTTTCTGAGCAGTCAAGCTCCTTTTTACAAACCAGTGAGATACTTACACCACATCATTTAGTGTAAGTGTAGAATTCTTCAATTCTTTTCCCCCAATAGTTTTGGAGGGATAACTTCACTGATACAGTGAAAGACAGTTTACATAACTTCATTGTCCAACTTTATCAATGTCCCTGATGTCTTTGGTCCTGACACCTCTACGTATATTTCATATGAAAGTCTGCAGGGGGAAGTTGGAAATCTGTTTTGCTGCATACATCTACAAGCTATCACTTCATTTGCAAGTCTGCCAACCAAGGCTAAGTGATAACTTTATTTGTGCCATATGAAGTCAACTTCCTCTTGTGATCAAAAGCTTTAAATTCGAGTGTTAAACATTTGAATCAACAAATTTTAAAGCAGTGTTGTGCATCATTTAATTTAGGAGCGTATGTAAAGCTGAGGAAGAGAGAGAGACACAGTAGGAATACCAGGAGGATTTGCAAAAGAATAATAAATAAGAGGAAAGCTGGCAGGGTATTAAATTGAGGATTACAAGCTTTGGGAAAGGAAGCGCAGAAACCGACTACTGTACTGCGAAGGGGACGCATAGAACGGCAGTTGGAGCCAGTCACGCGGTCGCAGAGTTAGAAGCACCTGCAGTCCCGCCCTTTTTCCACCACGTCCCCGGATGGGCGTGGCTTATCTTCAAGGATAAAAGTGCGAAGACGGCCATTGGCTCGTTCTTTTCGATTGTAGGAAGAGGTAGGTGTGCGGCTGCTGTTGGGGATAGGGAGGGAATGATGAAGAATGTTGTTCCCTGGAGGAATAAGTTTTACACTGGTAAGGCTGTTCATTTCTGATTTTAAATAAGTGGCCCTCGCCGTAGTAAGATACTAGCCGTTTGCTGGAACTTTTTAGAGTTATTACAAAGGCAGGGGCCGCTGAAGAGCTGCGGCGCATGCGCCCTGCCGGTTCTTCGATTTGTGAGGGTGAGCTTGACAAGCGGGCTGGAGCGGGAGAAGGAGGCGAAATCCTTGGTAAAATGGCGGGCGGTTATTAGAATCTCTTCCCAACCGACCGATGAGGAAGGGTAAAGTGAAGGACGGAGAGGCGCCCCAGCACGACGGGAGCGGAGACGGGGCGGGGTGTAAACTAAAGGAATGGGGAGGAGACGCTTGATTTTGTATTGGCAAAGCAGATTAACGGTCGGTTCCTCAGGAAGCAGCGAAGGCTCCACATGTCCCCGTATCTTGTGAAGGGCGGGAGTCTCCGCTTCCTCCCCCCCCCCCCTTGCGCGCATGTATATCGGGACGCCATGCTTCCATGGGACCTGCCAGGATGGCAGCCTCCCTTCCTACTCATGGCAGAGCAACCGTCGCCTTGCTTTTTGGCATAGCTCCCCTCATTTCATTGGGGGGAGACTCTGACTTGGGCAAGTCACATTCCCTCTGTGTCACCCTATGCAGCTTCGTGGAGAGTGTGTGTGTGTGTGTGCGTGCTTTGGAAACTACATGGTGGCCTGCACGAGAGCTTGCCTCTGGGGACCGATGGTGGTCATTGCAAATACCTTACAAAGCTGCCTTTCCTGTTTTTTAAAGTTGAAAAGTGGTTCTAAAAATACCGTTAAACCGTGTGAGGTTAAACTTGGGTAAAGGAGTTTAAGTGTTTGGGGGAGGCTTACAGCTCTGTAATATGAAACTGATCTTTTTAAAGCGAGCTTTGGGGGTTTTAATTGGCAGTTTGTCAAGAGTTTGAAGTTTTGAAATCAGTTTAACCTTGCTAGTTGGTATCTTGGATTTATGAAAAATAATTTTAATCTATACTTTTGGACCTTAAAAGTTTTAGGAGTCAGTAATTTTAGGAGTCAGCAATTTTGAATTGGTGAAATTTTGACCTGAAGCGGTATCTTGAAACTTGAGCCAATGAATACTCGGGACTTAATTTTCCTTTATTAATGACCCAATTTTGGTAAAATTTAGCTACTTTCATTTCAGAGGCTTTCTCCTTGTAGACCAGTGTATTTCATTGTCCAATTGGGCAACATCTAGTTCATTTCCTGAAACATTGCCATCTGATGGGAGCTAGGAAATGTGCCTTTTCTATGGCAATCCTGCCCTGCTCCCAGATTTTTGGTAGCCCCTACCCTTCTGGCATTATAAAGCTTTTGCTGACCTGGCTTTTCACCCTAATACTTGGAATAAGATTTTACTTTTGGTGGGAGCTGCCCAGAGTTGGTTATAAGATGTACTATTATATAAATGTTACAAATAAATAGATGACAACAGATTGATATTTTTGTGAATTGAAAAATATTGATATTTTGTGAATTGGGATTATTGGAACTGGACATTTTCAGCCATGATCAGGATGTAAAAAATATAGCTGCGCTGGTATTTGGATTCAGTGCATCTAAGACCACAATTGAGCCTAAAATTTATATTGTTAAGCAAGATAAGTGCTTGTTAAGTGAAGTTTTGCTCAATTTTATGACCTTTCTTGCCACAATTATTAAGTGAATCATTGCACTTAAGTGAGTCTGTTTATCCATTGACTTTCTTGCCAGAAGGTCTCCAAAGATAACTACATGATCCCAGGGCACTGCAACCATCTTAAATGTGAGTTGGTTGCCAACTGTTCAAATTTTGATCATGTGACCATGATGCTGCTGCAATAATGAGAAGCATAAAAAATGGTCATGAGTCACTTTTCAGTGATGTAACTTTGAATGGTCACTAAATGAACTGTAAGCTGAGGACTACCTGTTAAATCAAGTCTACCCCAACCACTGATACACACTGAGTATATCATTGGTAGACAGTGAAGAATTCTATCTCAATAATAAAGTTGGAGGGACCCAATATATCTTCTTCAGGGTGGTTTCATTTCTCATCTAATCAGAATAGGTTTGTTTAGTATAGGCAAAAAGTTAAGAATTATTCCTAAATCTTTTCTTCCAGGTGGGTTATTATGTGGGACATCCCAAGTGAACCCATAAAGATGATTTGATCTTTCTGGGGACTATTATACAGAAAATAAAATCCAATATTCCTGTAGATCAGGTAATGAGGGGCTTGTGAAGGAAATATAGATTTGGATGTATATAAATCAAGAGAAAGTAGTAATTTTGCTGAAGGTATTGTATAGGTTTGATGCCTCCCAAGGTTTTTTTAGGGCATGTCAATATTTCCAAATGGGTGCTCAAAAGTTGTGACGTCTTGGGGATTGTAAAGGTATTTTGGTTACTTTAATGTTCTTGGTAAATAACTACATAAATATAACGACATTTTATTTGTTTCATTTCACAGGTTCAGCTGCTTTCTCTTTCTCAAACGTTATTTTGTCTGAGAGTTAATACAGTGGCCTCGTTTCCTGTGAGTGTGATAACTGATCCGTAATGTCTTCTTAAAAAAGAATGAGACTGGGAACATTCACTCATATGAGCAACCTAATTGGGACTGGTAGAGACTTGTTGCCATCTGAACTCCCAACACTGCAAGACATTTTCAGATACGGCTTACTGTTATGAGAACAAAGTAGTGATGATGCTAGAAACTACCCAGCAGCCACTGTTGCAAGAGATATATATTCAAAAGTGCTTGAAAAGTGGGAACAAGCAAACAGTTCTTTTGTGACTCCTGTTGTAAATTCACAAATGATAATTTTGAACAAGATCCGAGAGAGCTGGGATCGAGCCAAAAACATATCTCTTGGTAGAGGAAAGCTAGGTGTCAAAGAGACTTTCGCTGTGAAACTTGACAAACTTTGACATCCTCAAACTTTGACATCCTCAACTGCAAGTGTCAAATTGTTCTGTGCATCAAATTTGGCTGCCCTGGCTGTAAAAAAGCTCACATTAACTGTACTTGTCCTAAAGAGACAAAAATACCATTGAAGGAACTTGCTTTCAGTAAAGGTCAGAGAGATAAGATTGGTTCTTTGGGATTGCACCAGATTCGTTTGCCCGATGTGCCCGAGCAGAAACTACTAGGCAAAAGCAGCAAGACAGAGAGACAAGGGTTAATATAAGCAGAGAAGTATTCCAGACATTTGAATTCTTGGTATAAAACACATTACAACTGGGGAAAAATGCAAAAATTAATTTTCACCCCAGAAATCACCTTGTAGGGGAGATGGGCAGCATAAAAAAGATTAATGTTGAGCCAAAACTTGGCAATCCTAATGGGTTAGAAAAGTCAGATGTTTTGAAGTAGCTGAAAGCAAAGGAAGTCTACTGATGGCATAAGTAAATTTACACCTTATCACAGTATTAATATGGAAGTTCCATTTGGCAGTATCTAGCCAACACTGCTAATTGTGAAAAACCAGAGAATGAGAAAAAGACAGGAAATCCAAAATAAATGCCAATGAGGAAGCAGAGTTTTTCGAATATTAATTAATTTTATTTATTAATGCTGGAAATGTTACTGTAATGTACAAACTCATTAAGGAAAGCAATTAACATTTAAAGATTTCTGAATATTTATTAAACTTAAGTTTAATCTGCCCATATTCTTACCTGACAAGCAGAAAGGAAAACAAGCTAAAATGGAAGAGGAACAAAAAGGGTTGTTTGTTTAGTCAGGAAAGGCTAAAGGTAGGTAGGCATTATAAATAGTAACAACAGTATTACTTTGTTTACTTGAATAAACTAAAACTACTTTTGACCTCTATGGTCATATTTTCATAATAGCTCAAAGTAAAAAATTGATGCCATGGCAGTTGTGCATCTTATCTGGGACGACAATGAAGATGTTTATAGGGAAGAGGTGAAGGCTCTGGTGGACTGATGCAATAAAAGTAATCTGATTTTAAGTGTTAATAAACAAAGGAGGTCATTGTAAATTTTAGAGAGAGCATCATTGTAAATTTTAGAGCCAGTATCAAGGATGCAGCTGTAAAAGTGGTGAATAGTATTAAGTATCTGGGAATGCAGATTAACTAACAATCTCAACTGGTCTCTACACAAGTCATCTTGTGTGTAAACCAGTGTGGTAATATATTTTATTAATCATTAACCAGCATTTCCTGCGTCGGATGAGAGCACATCTTTTATCATGCCCATTTTTTACAGAGCGATTGAGAGCATTTTAATAAACTGCATCACTGGTTTGGTGGCAGAAGTAACTCAAATAGAAAGTCCATACAGAGAGTGGTAAGGACAGCTGAGAAGATTATAGGAAGCTCAGTTTATAAGCACTATGTGCTTAGAGCTCAAAGCACCCCGCACACCCACTTTACAGTCTGTTTCTGTTGCCCTCTGGGAGGTTTCAAAGTATTTCTGTAGTAGTTCCTGTAACAGCTTTGTTCCCTATGCCATCCATCTGGTAAACTCACAAGATTCATTTTTCTTGCCATGTACATGTATACATCTGAACTAGACTTGTTTCTCTGGTGATATATGCGGGTATATATTTTATTTTATTCTGTCATGTTTATGTAGTGCAATATTGGAGGTGGTGGCTCTTTGAGAGCTGTGCAACAATTTCATTTTACTGTATGCCAATTAGTGTACATTCAAAGTGACAAAGTTATTCTATGCCTAATAAAATGCTTCTCTAATAAAATGAAAATTTCTAATGAAAAAAATAGAAAAAATCCCTTGTATCAAAATGCATTCTGTAGTCACCTGCCTGTTTTCTACTTATCAATGGTTATACATTTCAAGACAAAAAAAATATTAAGACCAGATTTTGTTATAAAGTAAAACTGAACTATTAATTGAATTATAAATTGTCTTCTACCATGAAAAGATTTCTATATATGAAGGCTGTGTGATAGAACAGTTAATATTTAAAAGAGATATCCTTGGTTTTATGATGTATGTTTTGTAAATGCATATATATTTATAAATTATGACTTTGTTAAGTTCACAAATTTTTTCAACTGTTTCTGTGAACATCTGAAAAACTATCCCTACCAGTGCACTGATTTTCTTGTTGAAAATATCATTAAGATAAATCCATATCGAGATATAGAAAACAGATACAGAAAACTGAAAACTAAAAAAAATCCATAAATAGCACATTTCATTACATTGAATATTTTATATCTTAACCAAATAAAATTATAAAAAGCAAAATAATTCTGTCAGCAAATAAAAATATTTTGAAATATGGTTTCTAAATCCCACTATGGTATGATATTACATTCAGTAGTAAACTAAATATCATTTGGGGTATTTAAGTCCTAACAATGCAGTATATGGATGGCATACTCACAGCATGTACTTATTGAAGTACTTCCTAACTTAGAAGCAGAAATTACTTTTTGCTGTCTAGTTTTTTTTTAAAGGCCTTATTTAAGTTTAGACAATATTAGACAATCATACTTACACAAAATAATGAAAAGAATCCATGAACTGCAAGGTTAAATGTACTTTCTAAAACTAATTTGTAGATGTGTTAAGTATTTGATGCATTTACTTTGGGCATAGTTCTGGTCATTAAAAATTGGCCAAGTAATTTACGATTGTAAAAAGCTGAGAGTAGAATGCCACTATTAACATTATTTGTTAGCATACTGAGAAATAACTTGAAAGAGTGGCTGAAAAATCTAGGATTTTTATTCCAATAGCAGAGAACAAGTTAGGAAAAACTCGGATGACAGCATGATAAAATGTTAGTAGATACATAAATGAATTGTCATAAAGCACATATTTAAGACTGTTTATACCCTACCTTTACCCGCTGCATTAAAAACCATAATTTAATACATCAATATTACATAATATTGACACTTTTACAAGATATTTTATTCAACTGTTTCTTTCATGTACTGAAGGCAGGATAACTTCATAAAGATAAAACATGGTATAAGTCAGTTAAAAATTCATTATTTGAAACTAGTAGGGTATACAGTTCATTGTAGAAAATTTGTCACAATACAAAATACTATATGCGATAATCATATAGAATGATCTGATTTGTGCAGCTGTAATCTACTATTTTGTCTTGGTAGAATTACATGTTCAAACAACATTACTTCTAGGATGACTTATTTTAATGTCCAAAAAGTTTTACATCCATGAAAAAAAAAATATTTCCCCAGTGCAACAAGGGACATTCATAGTTTGGTTATGCTTCTTATCCAAGATATAAAAAAGGAAACTTTAGTATAGACACCTGGAGAGTCTTTGACTCCACACCCATACCCCCAGGAAGTCACACCATACACAACCCAGATATTTCCTGGCCGTTCACATATTAATGGTCCACCACTGTCTCCCTGACAGCTGTCTACCTGTTTTTGTCCATGGAGGCTACCGGCACATAGCATTCTCCCTGTGAATTTTGTGTGATACCGTTCTTCACAAATTCTTTTAGGAATAAGCGGAATAGCAGCTTGTTGTAATGTTCTTGAGTAGGCTCTCCCTGATGGGAAAATATTGAAATTAAAATACCGAATATTAAGCAAGTGCTTATTCTTAAAACTTATCAAATAACAAATATTAGCCAAACAGATCAGACATCAGGTCATTCAGTAAGGTCTTTGTTTATATCAAGAATATAGTAATACACAATCCTCCAAAAACAAATCAATATTTACTGAACATTTAAAAATGGCTTGAAAGATGAAGTTTTTCTGGTGTTCCTTATTTGCTATAGTAACACAAACTTCATAAAAAGTTATACTTTTAAAGCTGTCTTGTATAGCATGCCTTTTTAGTAGGTACAGGTATCTTCACAATTTAGGAAATATTTCCATCTGCATTTTTTATCTAGTTACGTCAATTCTGATTCAGTTTGAGTTGGAATTCTGCAATTCAAGTTTCTGATTCAAGGTTCAATGCAAATGTTCCATTTCAAGTGTTAATTTGAAGAATGCATGGATTATAAAGAAGTTTTAAAATGCCTGATGGTGTTTTAACTTTGTGGCAGAATGCAATGAAGCAGGGGTGGTAGACGAAAATAGGTAATTTTAAGTTGGCCAGGGTTCAGTTTGACCATACAGTAAATCATTGATTGATGACAGTAATTCAGACTGGAATTTCTATCACTATGCAATGTCATAAAGTGTGATGTTACATGAATACATTGCTCAGCATCTTGGCAGTTCTTCATTAACCAAATCCCAACTTTCATTAAGTGAGGACTCAGTCTGATCCAAGCCATTCCAACCTTGTCCTTCCCGGCTCAGCCTTGCAAGGCAAGGGACTGCCTCCTCAGCAACTCACTCCGCCTGCTTATTCCCCGTCCATTTCTGTCCTTTTGTTTGCCCTGCACTAGATTGGTCCTGCTGTCCCCACTTTCACAAGACTTTCAAATTAGACAAGGGGCCATGTGGCCTTGGGAAGAAGGCCTGTTGGCACAAGATTAAGTGTGCCTAATCAGTTCAGGAGGAAGAAGATGATGGTTAAGCTGGGGATGGCAGGGGCTGCAAAAGCAGCCAAAAGAAAAGAATTGAAGATGGCACTAGGCAGGTGGAGGGAGTTGGTTCTCCTGTAGTAGTAAATGCGGCAAGGCTGCTAAGAGCCTGAATTTTGACCATCGGGATGCTGTAACAGTGGTAACTTCAGGAACCTGGTGTAACTGCCATAATTTCAAATAGTTGCCGAACAAATGGTCATTAAGCAAGGACTATCTGTAATAAAGTTTTAGCTATCCTATAGAATTATTTGAGATAGCAACAATGAAGAAACGGCAGCAGAACAATTTCAAAGTAGTTTAGCAACACACCCATAAAGACTTTGGCTTAACCAACTATTGTCTTCCATTTCAGGTAGGACACATTAATACAAATGTGATTCAACAGAACAATCACCCTCCTGCCCTTGCTCCTTTAAATCACGTTTTTCCAGGGCACCAGAAATATTATATATTTATTCGACTTAGCATATCACCTAGTGCACTAAGCAATTAAAAGTAAAAAAACAAAACAAAACCCAATCTTACCTGTATCACCCCAACCAGTGATGTAACAATTAGAAGCTTTCTGTGGCCTCTCCCGCCTGAATGGCAAACAGGCAGGTAAAACATGAGCACTAACGCGAGTACACTGTTCGTGAGGCCCTTGCAACCTCACTAGTGCAATGTCATAGTCACTATTATCAGGCCTATATTCTGGGTGTTGCACAATTTCTTGTACTCCGATTTCTTCTTCATACTCTTCAGGTACCAATGTGTGGTAGTCTCCAACACGCACCACATAGTTTCGAGTATTGTTGCCATACCTAAAAAAATGTGGGGAAGGAGATAATTGACGTAGGATTCTGCTTTTATTATAGCATTGATGAAAGAACGCTGGAAAATGAGCAAGCAAGAATTTTACATTTCCAGTACGGCAACAATTCAGGAACTCAGTAAAATACAATGGTTTAAATGTTAGTAAATCTTTTTGAATTTTCAATGTTGGCCAAATATTAGTATGCTCAAATTGCTTCATCCTGACCATTCTGCAATATGCTAGAGATATTATTTAGGTAGAATTAGCATGTTGAACGTTAGCACCTTGAAAAGGTAGATATGTCTGTAGCAGTAAAGGAGAAAAAAACGTAGACATAAATATATTCTTTCTCTGAGTTTTTGGAATAAAGATAAACATAACTATCATTTCAATAACTTACATTTTAAAAAATGTCCTTGTGTAGTAATATATATAATCCATATTAAATAAAATCTTCCTTTTTAATTATGTTGAAATATCCTAATAAACAGATTCTCATTCTAATGAAGAGGTCGTGAATTTAACCAAAGAACAGTGTCAATGTAATGAATTAAACTGGCTGTTTACTGCTGTTTAATGGACAGATATTTTTTCATACTTGTTCCACATTTCTTCATAAAGAATGAATCTGCCCATAAAATAAAATTATTTTACACATAGGACTAGAGCAGGGGTGTCGAACTCATGACATATTGGGACTTTTTTCCCCTTCGCTAAATGGGGCATGGGTGTGGCCAGTGTGTGACACATCCGGCCCAGGGGCTGGGAGTTTGACAGCTCTGCACTGGAGCATCATGTGAGGAAAAACTCAAAAACTGACCATTTGTTCTGGACAATTATTCAATACAGTATATCCGATACAGTTATTTCTTTAACGCTTGCCACATGTAGAAAGTGTCAGGTTCATTTACCTTTTGCTAACAGTTCTTAGATCCAACTAACTGATTGTATGGAAGCATAATTCTGCAAGTATCATCAGTGGCTTGACCATATATATTATTTTTTGAAACTTAAAACATACATTTAGAAATAAACGCCACTGCAGCGCTACGCAGCATATTGTCATTCAGGTTCAGGGACAAATAACATAGTTTGGGAAAGTTTGGCTGTTTCTCTCCTTTTTTCTGCTTCTTTGCAGATTGATCATATACACTAATCGAATTATAGATTTGTACATATGTTTGTTCATTCCAGGCTAGATAAGTACATGTCTTCCTCTAAAAGGTTTCCATCTTTTAATTCTGGGAGTTGTATTCACAAGACATCCAGAGAGTGCCTGGTTGGGGAAAGCTGATTTATATCTAAGGACAAATGTTTTGATTTGCCTTTCAATTTCCATGTTTTCATTTTCATTTAAGTCAATCCATGTTTTTCAGAATAATGAAGGCATTCCAGATTACAGAAGCAATGTAAAATATATGTGAAATATTAATAAATTGTGTTTTAAGAATGCGGCTGTTGTTTCTTACAGCATTGTTTCAGAGCAAAACCAGAATCATCCATATATTTTATTATCTTTGTCTTTCTACATTATTTATTTATTTATTTATTTATTTATTTATTTATTTATTTATTTATTTATTTGATTTGCCAATTGTTTACAAGATAATAAGTATAAGTGTATACATAGTTATGAATACATGAAATGGGTACATATAAGAAAAATAAAAGAATAAGAGAAACAATATAACATGCTCCTTTGTAACTTTTGCAACAATACCTCTTAAAACAATGTGCTGCAGTAAGCACCCAGCAACTGCTGATAAGAGTGGCACCACATAGAAGTCTTCCATCTCCATGGGATGATTTAATGCGCAACGCTACTTGCCAGGGCCAACCACCCCTAGACAACAGATATGTATATGATTAGTATGAAAGTGCCCAAAGTTAAAAATAAAAATATGTTTATGTATTTGTCTGAGTGCAAAAAAAGTGTCATAGGTCATTTCTCATCAAACAGGACATACAAACTTGTCCAACCACTTTATTCTGAATTTATCCAAGCATTCAGACAGCCTCATTCTACATATCCATACTTCTTGGGTGGGGGGAGGGGGAAGAGACAAGCATTTTAGCAAGTTAGGTTATGGTCATTTGGGGATTTAGATCTGTGTAAACAATGAGTGACAGATACTGAATCATATGTGAAAACTCATGCTAATTTAACAAATAAAAAATATTATTTTTAATATATGACACATTTGTTTAATTTGAGAATGATCCACATAGAAAAGTGTACACTTATACTGGTTTTCATCATTATTAATATAATGCATAAGAATAGACATTGATAAGCACAGCTGTCTTCATAGTCAAGGTAAACCTTGTTAATTTTAGCTTCTTCTCCATGCCCCACCTTTTTTTTAAAGGCATATATCTGAAGGAGTTGCGTTTTTTTTTTTAAAAAAAAAAAAACACTTTATGGAATTCTGCTCACACAACAGAGACTTTTCATATCTGTTTGCCTCTGCAATTCTTCCATTGCACCTAATGTTTTACCAAAAATTGGGGACTCTCCACAATCATGTGTTAGAGAAACTGCAACTCAACATACCATTGCAAAATTAAGACACTACATACATGACTGTTTCAATTATAAAAATCTCATTTTTAGCAATTATAAAAGATACCTAGCAATTTTAAGTATTTAGCTAGCAATGGTTTGTTCTGACTGCACACACTCAGATTTTTATGTATCAGCCAGGTGCATCTTCTATTAATGAATTAGATTCTTATTTTATATTTGATTGATTTTGTTTCACCAAGTTGGTGTCAACACATCACATAGATTTTCTCTGGGATCATCTGTCCCTAACCTGATCCTTCTGGTCTTCCAACAGTGCATCCATCATTGATGCACAAGTAGTCATTGACTTTCAATTGATTTGTTTAACAACTATTCAGAGTTATGCCAGCTTAGAAATATTTCTTATGGCTTATAAGCACTTTTGCCCATTCAAAATATCAAATCACATACACTTGTGGTCATCTAGGAGCATTGCAACCTGTTCACATTTATGATTGGTTTCCAAATACCCTGCAATCATATGATAGAAATTTTCAATCTTCTCTGCTGACTTTTCCAGGAAGTCAATGGGGAAACCAGCAAAAAAGTTGTAAGCTGCCGCTACCTGCTGAGAAGATTCTCCCTTGAAAGAACTGTCTCTTGAGGGGAGCTGCATGCCTTCAACTGGGTGGAGAAACAGAGCTCAGATCCTGATGGGCTGAACACGTTTTCTGCACTCCATGGAAGGCATGCCCTTTAAACTGGGAACAATGACAATGCCATGGGAGTCTGCCCTAGGCAGGCCTGGTGCAATCTGTGTGCTAGCGAAGGGAGGCAGGGGAAAGCATGGTGTGGTATTACACAAGTGCAGGCGAGCCAGGGGAGGGAAGCATGGCTTTGTAATTTTAAATTGGTATCTGTAATTTACCTTAAGGAGTTTTTTCCACCAATAATTCTTTTTTGACGACGATGCAATATTCTTAAACCACATACAGAAGCAAGAGAATCTGAATAGGGCTCAAAGCAGAGAAGTTAGATTTTCCAACCAGTAAATAGAGAGCACTTCAAACGGCAAGCGAAGTGATCAAACAATTTCTTCCTAAAAACAACCCAAATACTCCCCGATATTCCTTGACAATTTACAGAAAAGAGAATGATTGAAGTTTATATTCATTTCACCTTTACTGCTGGATGCTTTCTTGATAAGATAGTCACAGATGACACCAGCATCTTCACTGTGACGACAGTTATGCTTGCCAATATCCTGTTTAATGCAATCAGCAAGGGATCTTTCATTTCCTGTGCATTTCACGTTATCCACATGGATGGGACCTTTTCCTTCTCCAAAGTATGCCATAGTCCTTGCTCGTGATAAACCTCTGGAGGCAAAAAAAAAATTGGGCAACTTTTTAAATAAATCATAATGGCAACAACAGATACAGAATTCTTATTTCACATGAATCAATAAACATCAGTAAGTTTCCTCTACCATCTCTGCTAGGACTGTTAGAAGACATATTACAGCACTATTTTTCAAATTGTTATTTTATTTACTGTAGCATATTAATAATTTTCAAAGGCTATAGGTGTCCATATGAAGTTTTACCTAATAGTTGATTTTTAATAATTTTGTTGCTAATAACTTCATTTTTAAAATAATCCAAGACTACAAAAATTAGTGGCAATTTTCATTGAGAGTAATCAGCTATTTCTGTCCCTCAGAAAGAAAGCAAACTATATTATATACTAACCCAAACAAAACTAGAATTCTTCATCTGACAAAATCAGGGCGAAACCTGACAGATATAATAATTAACAAATATATCTTATATATGCTCCCATCTCAAGATTCAATTTGAACTACACATTTCAAAACTCTATTCTAATAAGGGTAGCATGAATGGGAAAGAGAAAGAAGTGAAACTTCATGCTACCCTTATTAGATCAGAGTTTTTGTTGAAAATTAGGCATTTTGTTCAATGCCTAATTAATATATTATAATTGTAACTTTATTTTGCAAGAAATAATAATAGGTTTTTGTTATTTGTGGATCTGAAAAAATACTCATCACTTTACTTGCTATACATAAGAACTAGGCTATAAATAATCTGGTAACATGAATGCCATGCTAGTCATTTGGTCCAATATAATATTTGACTTAAGACTGTATATCAGATCTGCAGAAATTTATTTATTCAATAATATCAAGTTAGTAACACTATTTGTAAATGAAGGATAGGTGGCATAATTGGGAAGATAATAAGGCCTGCTTTATCACTAGTTTCTCAGCTACTGTTAGGAAATAATGCTATCTATCTTTTACAAACTAAGCATATCTCATAAGACAGGTTGGTTTATGCATAAAGCATTTTAATTGAGGATTTTTCAAAGAAACCTTTTAAACATATAGCTTGCAAAGTACATTATTAAAATAAAAAGGAATTAAACATCCCGTAGCTTTAGCCCTTCTATTATGCCTTAATGCCAGTGAAGAAAATAAAAATGCCAGAGTAAAATAGATAGTAAAAGTAATTACTAGCTTATTATAATGTTAACATTTTAGGCATTACAGTGTTTTATAATTCAAATATTTTTTGCTAACATGAGTATTTTATGCAATTTAGTCAACTATGTTTATTTAAGGCTGATGTTATAGAGGCAATAAAGAAAAAAGTGTTCAGTGAAATTCCAGTAGTTCCGTGGCCAAAACTAAATTGCCCACATGTATTGATCTGTATGATCTGCATTTATAGACTCTAAAACAGATACACAGCAGATCTTTTCTTGTTTGGAAAATTCTCCCTCCACACTTAATCTTATACTGTTTGCAGATATTCAAAGGATTGTATAATGGAATACAACTGTATAATTTCCCTACAGCTGTTCATATTTTTTTTAATTTTGTATATAAAGTAGACTTTAAAAAGATGTTGATGAAATGCAGGCAGCAATGTAAGAGTTTGTGTGCGTTTGTGTGTGTGTGTGTGTGTGTTAAAAGTAATTAAATATTTTTATGATGCATTTATAAGCTTCAATTACTCAATTTTTTAAAGGGAAGTTATTCATTCTGAACAAGCATTGTTTGTTACTTTTAAATACTTACTATAAGCAAAATAGATTTACAGGTCCCCCACTTTCCTTTCATTCACTGCTTCAATATTTTTCAATAAGCAATAAAATGATACAAAAATCAATCTTTTAAAGATAGTTTTCTTGAATTTCCACCTGGTTTCTCACGTGGCTTAGTTAATACACAACAGAAATCTCTTACTTGACCATATGCCTCAATCCCCTATTCCCCATAAAATTTCAAAATCATAAATTCTGCAATATATCTTTAACTCTTAAAATTATGGTTAGTAAGCTATGGAAATTTTCATGAATAGAATTATATTACAACAACCCTGACGGAAATAGCATATACATTTTGTTACTGTGTTTATACATTATGTGTATATATTTCTTCTGACTCTGTTATTTGGATCACATATGACTAATTTTTCCTACTTGTAACCAAACGTTTTTCTCATGACACACTGCCCCCTTTTCTAATTGTCTGAACATAGTTACCTCAAAGGCCTAATGCACCAAGAAGCAAAGCTTTCAGCAGATTATGTGACCAGGGTTAGCTTCCACATAAAATATTTAATCATCCTGATTTATCCTGAATTATCCTACCCCTGAGTAGGGACATCTGGCCCAATTTGCCTAAACTCAAACCTTTGTGATTGCAAAACCATGTGCAATTCTTTAGCCAGCTAGACATACAACAAAAAGTGTGTAAATAAAATATTTTTGTTTTATTTCAACACAGATTATACTATGTTGACAATAGTGTTTTGAAATTAAGCGACACTTTTAAAAACAGGAAAAGCTATCATTTTAAAAAAAATGATTAAAACACTCTGGGAAGCAAGTTGTATTCAGTTTAGAGACAGCCCAATCACATTTAAGAAATCATTACAATGTGAAATCAGTAAGAAATTAGTTTTACAGATCAAGCACAGACACCAAGCAGCATAGTTTGGGAGAAGTCTTTTTTTTTTTAAATAGACGTTCTTTCGCATAATTGTTTTCTTCTTGTTTAATTTAGATATCTTTTCTACCTTCTTAGTAGAAAGAACCTTTAACACAAAGAAATATTATTAATTTAATTTATATGCTACCTATCTCTATATCAAGCCATCTATTATAGGAGCTTATAAAAATATTCAGAGGGTTAAATAACATTGATATGGTCTGTGCGTGTATAATTCTTACTGTAGCAATCACTCAGCACTGCTCTCCCTTTTAAATAACATTTTCATGAAATTAATGCATAATATATCAGATGAAGAAATTACAAATTGATAGGAGATTAGATGCCACTTGGACCACACTCTTTGGGAATACCAATTGACTAAACTGTAATTAAGTTTCTCTGTGTGTATGGATGTTCTTGCTAACTTCAGTTAATTCTGGACACATACTATATGTATGTATGTAAAAATGTGAAGGGCATACTGTAAATGGGTGAGAGATAAAAGGATTGCTGATGATTTTGTGTGGTGATAGGCAGATACATATATTCAAGCAATCTCTATTTCTTATTTTTACTATTAAGATAATATTAAAATGACAAAACAGTAAAGGGAAAAACACAGCAGTTATCTTAGTATATGAAAATATCCATATGTTAAGCTATTAATCTGGCACAAAGAATAGATTATACTCTGATCTCTGAAAAACTGATCTCTTACTTGTAGCCTAATTGTCGACATACCACAACTGCATCCTTATCAGACCATCCATCATCACAAATTGTGCCCCATTGGCCATTAATATAGATCTCCACTCGCCCCTCTTTCTTATTCTCACCATCCATCAATCTGATAGGAGGCCCTGGGAATAGATTAATAACTATTGACATAGCAGAACCAGTAGCAATACTCTCAAAATATTCAAGTAAAGTTGTTAACTAGGAATAAACATTCCAATAAATACAGCCATATGGGAAAAATATGTTCTCTGAATCTGTGGGGGGAGAAACCCTGAAATTTGACAAATGAATTAACTTTCATTTAAAACAAAAACGAATGTTATATTTGCTTTCAAATACAAGGTTGCAAACTAGAGTGCACAAATAAATATAAAGGCGTGGGAAACTTAAACAATTATCATAATATATGATCAGCAATTGCACACACATTATTTTTTTAGATAACACATATCAAAACTTTGTTCCCAGCTATCATGGGTATAATCACCATATCAGGCAAATATATGCATATTGTGATCATTTACTTTAACCAGAACACTTTCATATCTATGATTTGGTGAAATTGTTTTATTTTGCATTTTGCCTCAGCATCTAAGTGGCCTTGAACATTCACTCACAAAGGTTTTCAACATTTAATGAAAAATTTTAAAAATGGGTTCCAATATATTTTCTCTGTCAGAAATTTATTATTTCTTTAATATTCTTTCAGTGAACTTTAATAGTCAAAGTTATCAATGTTATGCAAGGACCTATTAAACATAATGAATGCATTATACTATACTATACTTTTCCTCCAAAACCTAGAAGTATTATAGAAAAATCTTCCACTACTAAGATTTTATATTTAGAAAAGTAAAAATTCAACTTTTTAAACAAAGCATTAACAAACAAAAGCAACCAAGAATTTTCTATTTACTGAGATTCCAAGGGTATACAGTTCTCACCTTTTAATGTTTTCTTTTTCTCTGAAACTTCTTACATATATTTTATAATTGTATACACAGTTACTAAAAACAATTTCTAGTGATAAATACATATAGCCGAGACTGTGAATAAATTTCAGAGGCTGCTGGATTTCAGCTCTCCTGACCATTATTCCTAATTTTGATAATAATCCTGCTGACTGATTTGATATTTGGACTCCAATAATTTTTGAGCGTCCAAGCTTGTCACTCCTGGAATACTAAAATGTCTTTACTGACTATTCTTTACGCTGTTCAAACAACATTTATGCATGCCAACATATGGGACCATGGTGAATGTGGTCTCAGTTATGGTTATACATAATTTTAATGCAAATATACTTGCAATCATAACACACTAAAGTGACTATGTTAACCAACCTTAATAAGTAAGCAACTGTTTACCTAGCTCATAAATGTTAAGGCAGAGCAAAACTGATCAGCCTTTATTGAAGAGTGAAGTAGATGGTGAATATTTTCAATTTAATTCTGGAAATCTTTATGCTCTTATAAATGTTTTATTTATTTTTACCCAACTGAATTCTGTTTAATGGAACTATTTCTAGAAAACCAGATTCAGAAAAAGAAGAAACAATATGACAATATATCTGTCAAGGTTTAATTCATTCAAAATATTTCTAATAGAAATCAAATTAAATGATCCTCTGATTTCTGCAACCTTAATTTATTTGCACATCAGTAAAAGGCTAGCTTTAGGAAAATCATGCTGCATAATGTAAATATAAGTTAATACTTCTTGTGAAACAGCACAGTGTATAGAATATAGAAAAGTTCAGCTTTGGTGAACTGACTTTTACTACTTGGAATATTGTTTGAAAACTATAAAAGTAGTATAAGCCTCAGTACTGAAAAAGGAATTTTACCATATGGATCTATTTAACCAAAAGATAACATATCATTTTGCTTTCCAGACAGATTCAGTTTTATGTATTATGAGCACTGCAACACAAATCCATGTGTTTATGTAAACTGGCACTAAAATGTGAATTCCTGTATTCTGAGTTTAAATTTTCCATTCCTGGAAATACACATTGTCTCCCCTACATAGACATGCTATTGGATAATTACACATTTGGGATATTAGAAAGTATAAAAAGAAATCACTGAAGAGATTCAGGAGCAGACAAAGAAACACAGCTATGGAAATAAATTGGAAGCTTTATTTCAGGTTTTTAATCTTACAGTAGACTTAATTCTTTAACAATATGCTTGAAGATATAGCTGTGGGGTTAAGAAATATTCAACAGATGTTTTGTTACAGTAAGAGATGCTCAGACTAAATTGCTCTAACTGTTTAAAAATGTTTGTGTACATTTTTAAACTAGTCTTTTGCTACATTTAAGAGCTGCAGGAAAATTAGAATGGACTAGAAAATCTACTCTATATTGTATTTGATTCATATCAGATGTTTCATTCAGGGTTCAATATCCAATACACAGTACTCTCTCCTCATTTTTACCACAATAACTACACAGACATAGGCTACAATGACTGCTTAAAGTCATCAAGTTTCTGTGTATAAGAGAGACTCAAACATAGTTCCTTCCTGTTTACAGTCCAGCACTTGATTATCACATCACATTGGCTTTCAGTGTTACCCTATTTTTTTCCCAATGCCTGGCCTTTGAACTTTGTCAGATTATTGCGTTTTCTAAAAAGACTAAAATAAACATTTTTATGAAACCTTTTTTCCAATAGAGCAATTGTTCTGTCCAGAAGTCATGTTAGGATTAGAGTTTCGTATTTTGAAGGGAGACTGCTGTTTAACTGATAACAGATAATCAGAGTTGGAAGGGACCTTGTAGATCATCTAGTCCACCCCCCCAAGCAGGAGACCCTACACCATTTCTGACAAATGGCAGTCCAATCTCTTCTTGAAAATCTCAAGTCATGATGCTCCCACAACTTCCGAGGGCAAGTTGTTCCATTAGTTCATTGTTCTCACTGTGAGAAAGTTTCTCCTTATTTCCAGGTTAAATCTGTTCTTGTTAAGTTTCCATCCATTATTCCTTGTCTGGCCTATAGGTGCTTTATAAAATAGATTGACCCCTTCCTCTCTGTGGCAGCCCCTCAAATATTGGAAGACTGCTATCATGTCTCCCCTGGTCCTTCTCTTCACTAGACTAGCCAAGCCCAGTTCCTGTTCTTCATAAGTTTTACTCTCCAGTCCCTTAATTATCCTGGTTGCTATTCTCTGTACTTTTTCTAGAGTCTCAACATCCTTTTTTACATAGTTTTTGCTTGAATGTAATTTTTTTTAATACCTCCTAATGCAAGGACAACATGTATTCTTTTTTTTATCAAACCCAGACTGTTGAATCCATTCTGCCCTGGATTATTTTATCAAACAATATCTCCAATGAGCTAAATAGGGACTCACTTGTTTAATTGGAAAATCCATCAATGGAAATGGAGATCTCTACTTGCTAATCATTTGCTTCTCCAGCTGGTGCTCTCCAAATGCAATAGGACAAGAAACTCCATGATGAATGAGAATTCCAAGTTTCAATACAATTGGGGAATATCTGATTTTCAGACTAATTTTCTAATGTCCCAAACACTACAAAACATCCTTTAATGTTCTGGAATCAGATGTCCATGTAAAAAAGGATTCCTTTCTTGTGAGATGGGCAGCACTACATATATGATGAATAAATAAATACAATAAAAGGTAATTTACCTAACAAGGCTTTGTGGCTGTCATTGTCTCGATAGCAATTTATATTAATATCTTCCTGGTGGCTGCAATCATGCTGTCCCCAGTCACCCTTAGAACACTGTAGAATGTTAAACTCTTTTCCAGAGCAGGTAATGTCATCCAGCCAGATGGGTCCTGTATTTTCTTCTAAGAAGCGTTCTGAAACAATTTTCCCATTCCTGTTTACATAGACATTAGCACTTACACAGTTATAATGAATACTGTAAATATATTCTGTGATCAGTCTTGATTTCATTGAAATCTATTGTATTTGGAATAAATATTTTTTTCTTTTTTTTTTTCAATTTTCAATTAGGCTTGTTGATAGAATCCATGATTATATGTATTAAGGCTCAAAATCAACATATTATTCTGACATATTTTATCACTGACATCTGCTATAAATATAATGCTACTAGCTGCTTAACTAAACTATGTTCATAAATGTAATACATTAACCACATATATATTCTCTCCTCATTCCTTCTGCAGTGTGAATTTTCTCTTCAGGGTCTAATAAGACATAAGCATTAAATCAGCTAGCCAGAAGTCAAACTGCTAACAACAATCTATTGAATAAACTGCAGTTGGCTGGGGTCATACATCATGCAAAGCCATAAACCAGGACTTTCAAATGAAAATAGCTGGGATTACATACTGTGCTTTTAAGTCCAAATGAAATAAATCAAATTATGCTTTAGAGCAATGTATGAATACTGTGAGAGGGTGAATGAGAGTTCAGCATTTTAGAATATATCTAATATGAAGTATGGATTGTAAGAATTTTATTTCCAGATTCAATTCAAAGTCCTGGTATTGACCTTTAAAGACTTACATGGCACAGGACCAGGTTATTTGAAGTTGTTTGTCTCTTTTTGATTCAATTTGCCCAGCCCAACCAGATCCAATAGAATGGGCATGTCAGGGTTCCAAGCTTCATTTGGCAGTGGGCCTTTTCTGCTATGGTGCCCACATTGTGGAATCTTTTCCCTGCAAAGTCGGCCTCATCACTGTGGAGTTTTTGAAGGTCATCAAGACCTAGTTATGCCAGCAGGCCTGGGAACCCCAAGGGATGAGTGAATTATTGAGGTAGCTCCTTTATTGTTAATATTCCTCTACCTATTAATTTTAGAATCTGAATATTCTCATGACAAATTGTTCATTTATTACAATTTCTAATACAGAAAAGTCAAACTGAATTATAGTTCATGCTGCAAAAATAAGTAAACAATTCTTTCCCTTTTTCCCAACCAGGGTTAGCATTTTTTAAATTAATTTTCCCTCTTCTTTGTTGTATGATTACAAGGACACAGTATTTAACGATTAGATTTTGATCAGAAAGCAAAGAAGCAAAGCAGGTGCAATTTACTGAACTATTATCAGCATTGCTGTGCATAATCATTAGTAACTTCACATAAATGGAGCTTACTTAAAGCCCAGTTGTCGACAAACCACCTGCGTATTCCATTCAGTCCATCCATCATCACAGACTGTGCCCCATTGTCCATTATAAAGCACCTCCAGCCGTCCCTCATGATTGCTTTTTCCAGCAACTAGTCGAACTGCTCCATCTGTGGCATTCAAAATGAAGAGTGTATTTTAGTAGGTAGCTATTGCAGAAAAGAAACTCACCACAAAATAGAACAATTATAGGCTAGATAATAACTTTTGGCATCATTTTAATGGAAAACAGAATGTTAAAGGAACACTGATATTGAATTTCCTGCTATAAATGTTTTAATAAAATTGGAGTGCATTGGTTTTATTTGTATTGTGTCTACCCAGGCACCTCTGCATGTTGTTGTTGTTGTTATTATTATTACTATGTAATTCCTCATCCCAGATGCTTATGGGATAAAACCGTATAGACAAAAGTAAAAGAGAGGATAAGTTATATCCTTATCTTGTGCCTTTCTGTTATATCCCACACAAATAAATGTCCTTTCATTCCATACTCTACACTGCCTAAGGACTGTAATTGGGTTAAATAAGACACACAACAGGAAAAACCCAAATATTTTTAGAATAAATGGCAGGAACGTCTTCATATGGAATCTTGACTTTCTGAATCTTTGACATTCTTCATAGTTCACAGAACCAGAACTACTCCATTACTAAATCAATTCAATTTTCAAGTCATGAAAAACTTCTAGGGAAGCAAATCATCCTTTTAAAAAAATCAACAGGTATTTGAAAATGTTTAGGTTAAATACAGGATATGCTAAAAAGAAGATAAACAGAAGTTGCACAGCTGTTTATAGATGTTGATACTTAACTTCCATTCCTCTTCCCTCCAATTATGTTGCATGGCAAGTTCTTCCCTTATCAGTCATTAGGCATTTCCTTTCACGTTTGTTTTTAAATGTGGCCAATACACTCTGGAAGCCAGAATGAGGCCTTTGGTCTGCATCAAGAAATGTTATCTTCTCTATTGTTGAAAGATGTTAAAAAAAAATATTTAACCACTTTGTGTCAGTTAATCTTAACCCATGCAGTGATTCTGATTCAGAAAAGTGATTCCTTTGTTGCATACCTGCCAGAGGTGTGCATGAAACCCCTGCATCTTCTTTATGGCCACAGTTGTGTTCTTGCCAGGAACTCTTTAGGCACTGTTCTATAGACAACTCATTTCCTGTACAACGTACTTCATCCAGTAGCACAGGACCCGAGCCCTCTCCAAAATAAGCCTGGCTCCATGACTTGGCAACTCCACTGTCCAAACATAATAAACAGAGGAAAACTGATGGAAAGACAAGCTACTCTGCAGTTTAACTGCATAAATGATCTATACTACTTGTGCAAACCCTACCATTCAAAATGATACTAAGGCCTTACATGAATGAAGTGACCTTCTGATTTTCTATAGTCTTTTAAATAAACATTTGGGAAATACAATATACTAGAGAACCTGTTATTTTTTTTATTTAAATGAACATATAATAGCTTAGGAGAGAAAAATATAAATTCAAATGCTATTTGTTTTCAAAATGCAATAAACTGGTACAAGAGATATGGGGGGGGGACCCCAAGGAGAAAATATAAACATAAGTAGAGAAGGAAGGGGGAATAAAATTTGAAACAAGAGCCAAATTTGTATACAAAAGCCGGTTAGTCATAGTATATACAGTTGAAAAATCCAGGCTTACATTTAAAATGATTTATGCATCCTGATTTATTTTCAACACATTTTCCCAATATAAGTCTCAGTATCCTTCATGACTAATAAAATATTTTTAAAATGTTTGTCTAGAGCAGAGTGAATTTATAACTGAATCTTATAATCAGGATGGCTGCCAGCTATGAAGAAACAAAACCAATGAAACAGAAATAAATTATAGCCTAGGGTAAGAAAGGAATATTTTTCCTATGATAGTTGCTTATAAATAATATTTAAAAGTCTCTTGATAATTGACCTAGAATAAATGATAGAAGCATGGACTACTGTTTTAGGACATGATTTCTTTAAGAAATCAATCAAATACAAGAGTCTGTTTTCTGAACAAAATATTTGTCTTTTTTTTTTTGTTACCCAAGATATCATCAGGAATAGCCTTTATCAGCAAAGAGATAAACTGGCATTCAGACACACATATCAGGGACATATCCCAGCAGGGAACATTGTGGGCATTCAACTGCCTGTTACCAAGGTCATCCTCCACTTAGAGACAAATAACCTACTCTCCAATAAACAATTTGGTTTCAGAAAAAAACTATCCTGTAATCTGCAACTCTTACACTGCAAAAACATATGGACGACACAACTCGACCAGGGCAAAGCAATAGACGCAATCTACATAGACTTCTGTAAAGCCTTTGATTCAGTGGTACACGACAAACTACTCCTAAAAATAAAATCCTATGGTATCTCTGGACAACTGAATAACTGGATAGAAGCATTCCTGTCAAACAGACAACAAATGGTCAAAATTGGGAGCATCCTATCAAATCCAGTACCTGTCAATAGTGGTGTCCCCCAAGGCAGTGTTCTAGGACCAACTCTCTTCATACTCTACATAAATGACCTCTGTGATCATATTAAGAGCAATTGCGTTCTCTTCGCTGATGATGTAAAGCTGTTCAATACCACAGACAATACTGCTACCCTACAAAATGATCTTGACTATGTATCAGAATGGTCAAACAAATGGCAACTTCAAATCTCAACAAATAAATGCTCTGTCTTACATATTGGCAAAAAAAAATCAGAAAATAAAATACAAGCTAAATAGTCAAGATCTTGTTGATGACCCAAGCTCTGTAAAGGACCTTGGAATACTCACCTCTAATGATCTAAGTGCTAGAGCCCACTGCAACTACATAGCCAAAAAGGCATTAAGAGTTGTTAACCTAATCCTACGTAGCTTTTTCTCTGGTAATATCACACTACTAACCAGAGCATACAAAACATTTGCTAGACCAATACTCGAATACAGTTCATCAGTCTGGAACCCTCATTACGTATCTGATATTAGCACAATTGAGAAAGTCCAGAAATATTTCACAAGAAGAGTTCTCCACTCCTCTACTCGTTGTAGAATACCTTATGCCACCAGACTTGAAATTCTAGAACTAGAAAACCTTGAATTACGCCGTCTTCGGTCTGATTTAAGCATGGTATATAAAATCATACATTGCAATGTCCTACCTGTCAATGAATACTTCAGCTTCAACCATAACAACACAAGAGCACACAATAGATACAAACTCAAAGTTAACCGCACCAAACTTGATTGCAGGAAATACGACTTCAGCAATAGAGTGGTCAATGTCTGGAATACTCTACCCGACTCTGTAGTTTCTTCCCCAAACCCCAAAAACTTTAACCTTAGACTGTCTACTATTGACCTCACCCCTTTCCTAAGAGGTCTGTAGGGGGCGTGCATAAGCGCACCAACGTGCCTACCGTCCCTGTCCTATTGTTTCTCTTATTCTTTTATTTTTCTTATATGTACCCATTTCATGTATTCACAACTATGTATACACTTATACTTATTATCTTGTAAACAATTGGCAAATCAAATAAATAAATAAATAAATACTTACTCAGGCAGTCAACTATGTTTCCACACTACGTTCCACCCTAGAGCCATCTTCCCATGAATATTAGCCTTTTGCCCCTATGCTCAGCAATTCATTCAACTGATTAAAATCTCAATTTAGTGGAGGAAAAGGTGACCTTGAAGAAGTAAAGACGGTGGATTTGGTTTACAGAAGATGATTCTTCATACTTGTTCTATTTCACATTGTGTTTTGTGCAAATCCCCACATGCAATACAAGTCACCAGCCAATTCTTATGGCCATCTAACTTGTTTTAAGTCTAATCATGGAAAATGGAATTATCAGTTAAACTTGTTGGAACTATAAATGGTTGTACGCGTATGTTTAATATGCAGTTTTGATAGCTGTTGGAGTTGGGGGTTAATAATCATCAGGAGAATGGCAGTAGAAAGTAAAATATAATCCTTTCCTTTTTGTTGGTTATAATTGTTCTAAGATGCTATTTATAATAGCAGGAAACTTTCATTGATACCATTGTTATTGGTTCAATATAAAGAGTAATCCAATGAGTCTGGATTGTTTCAAGACTAAGGACTGCAACAATCAAATGGCAGCAAAAAGGCACAAAAACACTCATTCTTGTTGCTGTCCACTGGAGGTTCGGATTTCTGTCACTCTATTCATTACTGAAGCTACTAAGGGGGGGGGGGATTAATCTCTTTTCCATATATACTCAGATTCACAAAAGCATAAATAGACATTAAATGATTATATATCAAATGCAAATCCATGTTTAATGTATCCATTTTTTGCCCTAGCTATGTTCTTTGAACTAGTTACCAAGAAGCTTTCTTGGGGGTTTGGAAGAGATTATTATATATGAGTGATGATATTTAAAACTAGAAGTGTCTCTCCATTCATCCTTTTCATTTCTAATTTATACACTTTTCTAAAATAGGTTCCGTAACATTAATATCATTCACAACATTTGAATTTTCAAGCAAGCACAATTAATAATAAACACATTTTTTTAAAAAAAATGTTCCTAATCCCTTGATAATCCTTTTATTCATTACTCAGTAAGTAAAAGAGGAACAGACCAAAAATGGCCAGGAAATAAATTGGTTTGCAAAAGAGTTACTATATTGCAAGGAATTATATGAAAAGATCTCTTATAGCTATATTTAGACTTATAGTGCTGAGACTGCATTTCAAATGCCTGGAGGTTAGGAATTCAAATAAAAGACAACTTTATTTGAAGTCTTGAACAAAGACTTCATGTTCTCTGTTTGTGAATCCTGGAAAGCATATTGCACAGTAATACCAAAGGCAATCAATGACAAGCAGGAAGGTTATTGCCAAGAGGTTTTACTTTACAATCTGCAGCTGGATTTACTGAGAAGATCCACATAGCTAAGTATCTCTTTCATACGTCATCCCATGCTATTATATCTCTTATCTCTCCTTTCTTGGTAGATTTCAGTTCTTAGAAAATGAGTCTATTTGCCAAAGTATCCTTCTGTGCTTTTTTACATTACAGCTTTGCATATTTTTTAATTTAAAACATGACTAATAATATAAGGCCATGTGGAACTTCCTTTCTGCCTGTGAAATGTTTTTGAAACTGCAAATTTAAGCTGCAATTCAAATTGCAGTCTGACATTCTGTTTGGACATAAGAATCTTGGATTGAAAGCCACAGAATTGAACAGTCTGAAATACTTAGTTTTGGTTCTCATAAGATATGAATATTATAAATGCAAGGAGGATTAGCATACATATTTTGAATGCACGCTGATTAAGATTACTGCAAAGGAAACACCTAGATCAATTTAGTTAAAAACTAATCTCTGAGCATCCATTCTTCAATCTGTTTTCTTTTTAATTTACATGTCTATTTCCAGTAGCCCAAAAAGTGTGTGTGTGTACACATATATTCTCTTTGTAATGTTTATTTGTTTGTTCAATCATTCATTCGTTTATAACCAGTTAGCTGAATATTTTAGAAAGCCAGTTTGATGCAGTGTTAAGGCAGTAGGCTAGAAACCAGAAAAACATGACTTTCAGTTCTGTCTTAGCTAACGAATTAAACCAGCCAAATGACTCTGGGCCATTCATTCTCTCTCAGCCCTTGGAAAGAGGCATTGGCAAAATACTTCTGGAAGTGATCTCTCAAGAATGGAAGGAAATTCCCCATTAGAAATAAATTCCCAAAGAATAAGAAGAAATACTCCATAAGAATAAAAGAAAATCCCCCTGATTGCTCATAGCTGGTTTTAGCCTGAGACAAGTTGATTATGCAAAGAACTGAAATAGGCAGAAGCTGATCGCCCAAGCCAAAACAAATTAAAAAGACAAAAACACTTATGCCCACATTTCCTACACCCCTAAGGGGCAACTACAAAATCCCTATGTATAACAAAAAGAAAACTTATAGATATAGAAAATAAGGAATACAATATTTATTCTAGACATGGAAGCACCAGTCTCTTTCTCTCTCACACACACACACACACACCCCTACTCCACAAATTTACCATAAAAAGCTCAAAACCTTATACAAAGTTGACCAATGTACTATCAAATTGTTGCCACCAAGAAAAAACCTTTTTGTTGTGGGGAAATAAATGGATCAACCTTCTTTCTACAGCAGCCTGTCCTTGTGTCTTATTTGCCTGCCTTTCTCCCAGTTCTGAGAAAGGGACCTAGAAAAT